AGCCCCCCGGGCGGGGGGATCCGAACGGGGGAGGGGTAACGATTCTGGGGAGGGGAAGCCAGCCAGGAGCCGTGGTAGGGGAAGCCTTTGGGGGAGGGGCCCCGAGGAGGGGAGCGGGGCTTGCGATGGAGGGTGGAGGAAGCGGCCAGGGGAGGGCAAGTTGCCTCAGGGAGGAGGAGGATCGGGCGGGACCAGGTGGGGGCAGGAATTTCTCCGCTGGAAAGAAGCGGCGGAGCCGGATGGATCCTCCGTCTACCTCTCTGTGGTGGTGCTGCCCAAGGTTGGGAGGGAAGCGCAGGCGATGCCGGAGAAGGAGGGAGGAGAGGAAGTAGCAAGCTAAAAGAAAAGCCTCTCTGTGTGTTTGTATGTATGTATGTATGTATGCGCCTACTCCACGATCTCCTTGAAAACTTGCTCAGCCGCACCGGGGCTTAGAAAGCGAGGAGAGTGCTTCGGGCCATATGCAGAGTGCCTTCCTCCCGGGAGTGAATGTGCCTGGTTAAACCGTCCGCATCTTGGGGGAGAGGAGGGGGGGGAGAGTTGTAATTCAGGCCGAGCGATGTCGCTTCCAGGAAGGCCGGAGGCACTTCTGAGAAACGATAAGGCCTTGTTTGGTACTCTGCCTAAACTATTAGAAGGGCACCTTTCGGCAGCTTTGCCTACGCTCTTAAAAACAGAAACACGCAACCCGTCGCTGCGCTCAAGATCTGCTAGGCCTCTTTCCCCCTCTCAGATCCGATGCAGAGGGAGGCTGCGTAGGTTTTGTTAGCGCTGGCCTGCGGCAGACTAGTTTCCTTAGCGTTCTTCGCTGGGAAGAATTTAAACTCGGAAATCGTTATGTTTGGCAGGCTTTGCTTTGTGTACACTGGTGCAGAACTCCTTATTGAACCAGCTGCAAGTCAGAAGTTTGCATACTCCTACGCCCCTTGGGAATGACTCATGCAACGGCTTCCCCTTTTCCTCCCCACACTCAGAGGCGTTTTGCATTTGCCTTACCCCGCGAGAGCACCTTTCGTACTGCTGCTCTGCCCTACAGAGATGGGGTTGGTGAAGAGGGCTGCCGAAGCGCTCTTTTTCAATAATAGCAACACTTCAGAGAAAACTAGTATTTTTCACGACGAATAGGTTTTGGAAGATGTCTAGCCGTCTCTGCTATAGAAAGACCTTTGTTAGGGACGCTGCGAAAAGTTGTAAACAGATCTCTACCCGTAGATGTGTGAGTTATTTAACGTACATTCCTGAAGCTTGAAATCGGGCTGGTTTTACATCATCAGTATGAGGAAGTGGCCAGGGCGGTGCAGGGTGAGGGAGAGGCTGTTAATATGACGCAACACCGATATCCGCCTAGCAGTTTTGATGATCACCTAGGATGTTTTTTTAATGACTGTTGTGAATGTGTACTGTAGCAATTGCTGCTAAAATTCAATTTGGTCATAAGAGGTCCTCTTTTGATATTTTATTCTTAGCCCTACAACAATTCTTGATACTCTCACTGCCCCATTTTATTTTCCATTGTTGATGTGCAATGCATGCAGTTTATCTGGTATGCTGATGGTTGCTCTTTAAATTTTAATCATAGTTATTGGTTGTATCTATATCTCAGCCTTTATTCAAAGAGATTGGAGAGGAGCATATAATATCCTTTCTCATTATTTCAGCAGTCATGTGAGATGGACTGGCTTGTTCAGGGCCAGTCAGGGACTTCCACTGTTTATTAAAAATGCGAACACAGGATTTTGTAGGTACATTTGAACTGCTCACTGAGTTACACTGTCATCTTTATTGGCTCTTTTTCCATCTTTTTATGTTCTCTTTACCACCTTTCCCCATTACAGTGCTAGATGATTTTAAACACAAATTCTAAATGCAGAGAACTTCTATATCAATGTCCAAAGTATATCACTAAGTGTATAGTCAATAATCACAAGGCTTTACTTTGTGCTGCTTTATCTAGTGTCTGCTGAAGGCCTCCATTTTTAAATCTGTATTTTTAAATATGCTCTGTTCCTTTCTGCTTCCTCATGAAAGAACTACATGCTGTATATTATTTATTTCACTCTCATTTACTCTTTCTCTTTGTATCCTCTAATTTCCATGCAGATCATGATATTTCAGAAGACATGGTTATTGTCAAGACTGAGAAGGTAGATGAAGGCTGCAGTAATGATGGAGGAAACTGCGAGGCCCAGGTAAGTGAGAGTTCTGAGAAGGAGAGATGGGTTGGAACAAGTCACAATTTGCATACTGTAGAAAGTTACCTTTCTATTAGTTCTTTGAAAGAGTTGGCTCAGTCCTTTTTGCAGCTTTAAAAAATCTTTAGTATTTTTGCAGTCCTGTATAATTAAAGTCACAATTGAAAAAGTGGTGATGATAATCTTGTGGTTCTAGGGTTAGGAGAAGAATAAATTCAGAACAGGATGGGTTAAGGGTTCATCAAAAATTTATTAGTATTTCTATGAGTGTTAGAATTTGTACTTCCTCTTGAAAGATTGTTGGACTGTAAAATTGTCTAGCCCGAGTTCTGAGTAAATTGTCCGAGTAAAATATTCTGAGTAAAGTTATCTAGCCTGAGTGATGGAGATTGTTTATTTTGTTAAAAATCTTATCTGTGGCTTCTTATTGATCTGCCTTATATTGGTTAGACCAGTGTTTACAGTCTTTACTTTAGGTGATTGGCAAGTCATCTATTCTTAATTGGCTTCTTGCATGTGCTCCTCCCCAGTTGTTCTTGCTTTGTACAGTTGTCTGGGATGGTCAAATAGATACCTGACTCCTCCTTTCTTGTTCTGTATTTCCTGACAGGAGTCTCAGCCTTCTCCTCTAGCCCTGCTAGCAGCCACGTGCAGCAGGATTGAATCTCCCAGTGAGAACTCTGATGGTTTACAGGGGCAACAGGGAGGCTCAAGTGAACTGGACCTTGCTGCTGCAACTCAAATATCCCAGAACGCAAATGGCTGGCAAATAATTTCCACTGCTTCTGGAACTTCTGATTCTCCCAAAGATCAGGGGAGTAATAGCAATGAAGAGAGCGATTCATCTTCCAAAAACCGAGCTGCCAGCACTGGGCAGTATGTGGTTGCTGCCACCCCAAATATGCAGAATCAGCAAGTTCTGACGGGCTTATCAGGAGTGTTACCCAACATTCAGTATCAAGTGATTCCCCAGTTTCAAACTGTGGATGGTCAACAGTTGCAGTTTGCCACTGCTCCCACCCAAGTTAGTGTCCAGCAGGATGCCTCTGGCCAACTGCAGATAATTCCAGGGACTAACCAGCAGCTCATTGCAAACAGGTCTGGCACAGGCAATATCCTGGCTGCCATGCCAAATCTTTTGCAGCAGGCTGTCCCCATTCAGGGAGTAAATGCCCTCTCAGGGCAAACACAGTATGTCACTAACGTCCCACTGGCTTTGAATGGCAATATCACCTTATTGCCCGTTAACAGCATTGCTGCCAGTTTGGCACCCACGTCTCAGTCAGTTACTCTAAGCAGTTCTAGCTCTCCAGAGAACAGCTCTCAACCAGCAACTTCTGGCACCTCAATCAGTTCCTCCAGCATGGCTGTGACCCAAGCCAATACTGCCTCTTTCTTCACCAATGCTAACAACTACAGTGCCACTACCACAACAAGTAACTTGGGCATCATGAATTTTTCCACTGGTGGCAACGTGGGAACAAATGTTCAGGTGCAGGCATCACAGAGGACAAACAGCACTCAGAATGCTGATGCTGTGCAAGTTGCGGGAGTTGCAGTCCAGCAAGGACAACAGAAAGATATTGATCAAAACCAGCAGCAGATCCTAGTGCAGCCTCAACTTGTTCAAGGAGGACAAGGTAGCCAGACCTTTACTCCTCAAGATGCCCTGCAGAACCTGCAGATCCAGGCGCTCCCCAACACTGGTCCAATCTTTATTCGAACACCCACTGTAGGGCCAAATGGACAGGTCAGCTGGCAAACTATTCAGCTACAAAATCTTCAGGTTCAGAATCCACAAGCTCAGACAATCGCTTTGGCTCCCGTTCAGGGAGTGTCTCTGGGGCAGACAGGGAGCACCAGCACAACACTCACACCAATAGCTTCTGCCTCTCTACCCAGTGGCACGGTCACTGTAAATGCCGCTCAGCTATCCTCTGTACCAGGCCTTCAGACGATTAACCTCGGGGCCCTGGGATCTGGCATCCAGGTTCATCAGCTGCAAGGGCTTCCTCTCACCATAGCAAATGCCACTGGTAAGTAGGAGTTTCTCACAATGCATGTTTGTTGATATCCAAGTGCTGTATATTATTCATCTTAACTTGCTATTAAAACATACTTTGGTTTTCGTTACTGGAGGGATAAATTGGAGTATAAAGAACAAGTATACGAAAGGTTAGACATGAAGAAACAAGCTACAAAGCTGCATTTCTAATTCATAACATTTTCATGTCAGAAAATAACAGATTTTTCAAACATATGAACATTTTTCTTTTAAGGGTATGTGAATCTGTCAAAGCTGAAGGGGGCTGTCTTTGGAACTTTAAAAGTATAGAGAAGAGATATGATATCCATCACATATCGTTTGGCATCTGCTGTGTTTTTTCATTTTCTGCCAGTAGCTATCAGTTACAACATTATATCTTTCTGTACGGTCCTTACAAGTAGAAAAAATCTGTGCTGTATTTTTTTTCAACTAAGAAATAATGTTCAAGCTGGATTTAGATGGTCATTCATGCTGTGAATGGCAGCTGACTGCCACTATGTTCTGTTTACCACTATGTGGAGAGTTAGTCATCTGCCATGATTAGGTATGTGGAAAAGCTAGTTGATTCCAGAACCGTTTTGAAATAGGGGCTTGTGGCAATGTGCCAGAATGTTCCCACTTTGCTTGCTTCAGGGTAATTCCATGAGATTTTGGCCATTTAAAGAAAATGTTTAAAAATTAAATTTTCATACAAGTTTAGGATCCTATGGATGCCATCTGGTGGGGGGATCTTGTATGTTATGGTAACCATGGGCGCTGTGCGGCCAACCCCCAGTTTATGTATGGATCCTCAAAACCTTTCATTGGTAAATGTAGTGAGTTGCATAGAGTGCTAGATTGAGATCTGCTAATCTAGGTGTCTTATTCCTTCCTAGTTGGATGAAATACTGTATATGGAAAGAATTTCAAGGCTATAACATTCTGACACACACTGCAGCTATATGGAATAAGGCCACAAGGCAGCAGCTTCTTTACATTTGCATGTATATATGAATATCTGTGAAAGGATTGGGTGAATGGTGGGTATGAGAAGAGTGATAAAGCAGGTCCCCCAGGATCTGCTATAGCCTTTCTTAATTGGTTACCCTCCAAATGTATTGGAATTACTACTCCCAGAATCCCTACTTTGCAAATCCCTTGGTGTCATAGTTGTAACACCAGGGACATCAAAGTAAAGATTGAACTAAGAACTAAAAGTCTAAAATATATAATGTCTAGAAGGTCTTGTGGTGGTGTGTTCTCCCATACACCAAGTGGTTGGCTCTGTAGAGTGTTCATTAGTCATATAAGCCCTGCGTGTTTTCCATTTAGTCTTTATCATTGCATAGTATAACACAAGAAGATTAAACCATTAGTGTAGAGTTTAAGTCACTGAGTTCATAGTTTCTGGAGTTCACTGAAATGTTTTATGCATTGCTGATTCCCTCATTGCTCAATGATTCTGTGGATGGAAGAGAAAAAATTTGCAAGTAAAACTTGTGATTTGAGGATTATCCATATGAAAGGGAAAAAGATAGGAAAATGCAAGAAACATTTGAAATGGGGTAGTGGAGTAATGCATAAAATACTGAGTTGAGTCAAAAGAGTCATTGACCTCAGGGTAATTTCTGGATGTACAATATAGGCTTTTATTGTATGATGCTGAATTAAAATTCAAGCTGATGCTAGAGGATTAAAATAAGAGTAGTACAGAATGTGCTTTTAAGTCATTACATGTTGTTTTCAGAAGGCCAAACTATGCGTTGTATTGAAAATGTTTGAAGTGAGGTGGTTGAAAGGTATGCACACCTCCCCTGTGCAGTAGACTTTGCTTGGGTAAGGAGAATAAAATTGCCTTTACAGAACAATATGGGGTGTGGGCAGGAAGATATTTATTTAATTTATAATGTTGATCAGTCAGAGTATTTGATACTTACTAAGCAGGTAGTCCAAGATTGGTACATTAGCACAATTAAGCAAATAGAAAGTTATATGAGCTACTAATTTTCACTTTTCTTTGTGCAGAATTTTGGACTTTTTCATTTCAGTGAACAGGTTTTTTTTATACAGAAGTCCTGGGTCAATATGTTGCACAAACCATTAGCACAAATAGTCTTAACTGTTTCATTAGAGAATCCTGAATATGACATCTTTCATAATTTCCAAAACAGCTCAGTTGGAGGAGTTGGAAGGATGTGGCTGCTAGTTCTGTTGCTTCTGTGAATGTAGGGATGAAGTTCAGTGTACAGGTAGTCCCCAGATTAAGAATGCCCAGGTTACAGATGACCCATAGTTAAGAACGGAGCCTTTTGTAGCAAAATTCAAGTTAAATACACAACGATTAGAGTAAAATACACAGTGGTTCAAGTTCATTACACAATACTACTTATACAATATTATACAATAATACTATTCCGACTTACATACAAATTCGACTTAACGACAGACTTTGGGAATGGAACTTGTTCTTAAACTGGGGACTACCTGTAGTGTGATCCATTCTTGACTTGCTTGTTTTATAGCAGTTTCTCAAACCTGCTCGTCTGGCTAGGAGTTAATGAATAAGAAATCCAATAAATATTGAGAGTATCAGGTTCAGGAAGCTTGCATTATATTATAAGTATCACATTGTGGGCTTCAGTCATGGATTTTTGTGTGTTATGCCTTTAAGTACACAGTTCTGGAATCCAAGTGAATTCTAGATTTTTAAAAAGGAGAAAAAATATTCTCAGTCTTCCGATTTTTAGAAAGGTTTTTGTAGTTGTAATTAGAAAATTTGTTATTTTTAATGTGACTGTCTACTCCCTATAGAGAGCTGGTTTGCTGTAGTGGTTAAGGCATCAGGCTACAAACCAGGAGACCAACTGGGTCAAAGCCAGCTGGGTGACCTTGGGCCAGTCCCTCTCTCTCAGCCCTAGGAAGAAAGCAATGGCAAGTCACTTCTGAAAAACCTTGCCAAGAAAACTGCAGGGACTTGGCCAGGTAGTTGCCAGGAGTCAGCACTGACTCAAAGGCGCGCACACACACGATTCCCCATATATTCAGCAAGTTTAATCATGTTAACTGTATTTCAGTAATGTTGATCTCACCCACTTATCATGGACCTATCCATTTTGGCATACCATTTAAAGGCCAAGTGCAGTGCTTAGTTTGAAAAGTGTGTGCATTTCTGTAAAAGTTCATGTTTTGAGACTAAGTCCTGCAGTTTTCCTTAAGGATCACCATAATTGATTCCATTACTGATATCAGGTCAGTTATGATCCCTACAGCTCCTCTAATTGCGACAAGGTTTTACTCAGCAGTAGAGGGGATGCATAATCTTAAATACATACTTGAAACATGGGAAGAATGTAGGACAGCTATGAACTTTTTTTTGAAATGTTTAACAGTCAGAATGGCATAAAGATTCCCCTTTCTTTTAAATTGCTATTTGTGAGTACAAAGTACAGGTAGTCCTCACTTAATGACCACAATAGGGACCAGAAAATTTGTTGTTAAGTGGGGTGGTTGTTAAGGGAGTCACGCCTGATTTTAAACCTTTTTTGCAGTGGTCATTAAGCAAATCACTGTGGCCATTAAGCGAATCACATGGTTTCCCATTGATTTTGCTTGCTGGAAGCTGGCTGGGAAGGTTGCAAATGGCGATCACGTGACCTCAGGATGCTGCAACTGTCATAAGTGTGAGCTGGTTGCCACGCACCCAGATTGCGATCACGTGGCCAC